AGGGCTCTGAGAGTAGATTAAAGGCTGTGTAATTTTATTAAAATAAACATTGTTTTGTTCAGATTCTACTGTGCACTGTACAAGAAGCTGTTGGACCCCCACCTGTTTAACTCAGCACATCAAGCCATGTTTATCAACTTGGTCTACAAAGCCCTGAGGAAGGACTCCAACGTTGACAGAGTACGGGTGTTCATCAAAAGATTGCTCCAGGTATGTTTCTTTGATTTGATTATTTTAAAGCTCAACAACTCTGCTTATTGGGGCCTACAAGATTATGGATAGTTGCTTTTTTTTCATTGAGAAATTATTTTTGACTATTACTTATTCAAACTAATTTTGTTTGGAGTTAGATGCATATATTGAAATTGCACGATGTCACATAACAGAGAAACCCCATTGCAGCAAACCTGCAGACTAAGTGTTATTGTCTGGGTAGCCAAGTGGATAATAGACTCAAGAGTTGCTAGTGTGATCCCAAGGAGGGTCAGTTCTGGACTAACAAAGGATCAACGTTACTTAGTAACAACTAACAACACCAGGGTTTGGACGGTTTCCTAACAAAGCACATAGAATTGTAGAATAAATATAAAGTCAACTCGAAACTCCGTTCGACTCTATACCTGACAAGCAAACTTTACTTGTCACATAGACGTTCAATTAAGTTTTGTTTCTGTATGTTGAGTGTGTAACTGTTTACAGTAGATCTATAGATCTACATTATCCCCTTTTTGTGTTATCCACTATTGAAAAGTATAAATCAACAAGTCTTGATTTACATCGCATTCTATTGACCAGGTTTCTCTGAATGCACCAACACAGCTCGCTTGTGCCTTACTGTATCTGGTGTCAGAACTGTTGTCCAAGAGATCGGCTCTGCTGGCGCTACACACACACAGACAGACAGTCTACGCAGAGGAGGGCGATGCAGACGATGGAGAGGAGCGATACACCGATGCACCTCTAGACGACAAGGTAGACTTTGACAGCTATAATTGACTTAAAGGTACTAGGGCAGACATTTATCTATATGATCCAGCTGTAGCCAATTATTTATTCAAATACAACAGAGTCCTACTAATCTGATCTGATTGGAACTGAACCATGTTTTGTTTTAGCCGGATGGAAATGAAATGAAACTGCAACAAAGATCCAAACAGGGTTTTTTTCAAGACTGTTAAAGGCTATAATGCTCATTCCATTACAACAACACCATAATAAACTAAACTTCCTTGATCAGAAATCAGTTTAAATCAGCGCAATGAACATTATTGAAAATTTCTTTTGAAAGGCTAATTATTTCACCAAGGAAAAGGAAAGAAAATTATTGTAAACTATACTATATTTCATATCACACTATCTATAACAGTAGCCTATAAAAAGTTAAGGAAGAAGATATTATTTTAAACTAAGGTTAAACTATTTTAAACGGGTCCCTAAATTTCAGAAAATTCTTTGGGAAAAATATCCAATGAACGTCCATTCCTATTTTTAACTGTAGAACCCTTTGTGAATGGCTTATTCAATTATGTTCTATTTTAATACAAAATCGGCTACAGCTGGTCTATGACTGGGACGGTAGCGTGGTCCTGTAATCCAGCTACTAGGTGTTCAGGAATTGTGGATATTTATAGGCATGCACTGTGGATGCGATGCTCCCTGGCGTGGATTAAGGTCCGCACTATTGAGTACTACGACTATCTGCAGTACTATCCTGATAATTGGACCAATTCGTTAATTACACGGAAAAAATTTGGTTCGGATTCCACTATAAACTGTAGGTCCCTTAGTTGCCATTGGCTGTATGAGCTATTAATTAACAGCTGTGTCTAAGGAACATGTTGGCCTTAGTCATTAACAAGACTACAAGATTGCGCCACTCATCCTAAATTCATATTTGGGATAAAATACGCACATAAGTCATGTCCAAAAGTCAATTCATTCTACTTAGTAGTGATGCTACACTGTCTTCTCAAAACAGTTTACTGTGATGCCGAAAATTTTTCAGGTTGAAGATTCAAAAGTGACCGACAGTGAAGTAGAAGATGTTAAACCTGATGTAACAGAGGTTAAGCCAGAACCTGGTTGGTTTCATTGTAAGAATACGTCAACCAAAGTCGAAAGTAAAGTGTTTGATGGACGGTCTCGTAACCCGGCTCACGCTGGTGGGGAGTTTGCTGCTTATGAGGAGTTGACGATATTATCACAACACTTCCATCCGACTGTTGCGCTCTTCGCTAAAAACATCCTGGACAGTAAGTCGGTTCACCTTTTAGTGTTGACTTAAGATAAATTTTTACAATAATCAAACATTAAAAAATAGATCAATTATTGATGTGATTTTGAAATAGTAGATTTCTAAATGATGATAGTCGTATGTTCGCCATTTCAATTAAAAGTATGCTGTGTGTGATGGGGATGAAACATATGGTGTGTTTAAACTAAAATATGAATGAAAGATCAATAAGATGTCATGTAGATATGTGTTACTGACTAAGATCAGCTGTTTCTTTAGTCAGGATCAGCCGAAAGATTAAGAACAGATGGATACAGTCTCAATCATAAAAAAAGTACAGACATTTTTCAGCATACAACTCATCAGATTATTGGATAAGCAACATAACTACTCCTCTATCAAGCTATCCAATATCCAAGCAATTCCAGTTTTGTTTTATTCATGCTTGCACTGTAACAGCTCACTCCTTGTTCTGCTAAGTGTTATATTCACAGGTCTTGCGCCTTTGACTGCAAAATGCAAGGGTAAAAGGGTAAAAATGGGGTTCTGTTCTTGATGAGTTGTCTTCTAGGAAAATTTATTACAAAAACCAAATTTATTCCAAATTTAAACAAATATTCGAAAAAAAATATGAACGAAAAAATTATTTTGTTATTGGAATTTATTTGTGATCATTATTGGAAGTTTTTAATAATCTGAACCTAAGTTGGTAAAGACAAATTTTTAAACAAATAATTTGATGTGATTTTTTAACCACTCACAATAGTACAAATGTGTGATTTTTTGATCAATTTGGTCAGCAGTAAATAAGTTGTTTTCCTTACAAGATTGAATACCTGTATTGAACAATGCCTTTGAAAAACTGCCATTTAACAAATCGTATTCACTTTTTTCCATAGTTTGCAATAGTTATTCCCTCTAAGCATGGTCAGCGCCTCCTTAGTATATTTTCCTTACATCAGATCTAACTTTATCAATGCAAACTTATGAATCTGAAAAGAAAAACTTTTGACAGAGACAACACAAATGCATATCAGGGACTTTTCACTATACGAGCAAAGCCATTTAAAGAAATTAATTTAACACAATTTTACCTAGTATAAATCATGCATATTTTTTTTGTAAAGTAGAATGTTGGTTTCCCCCTTCAATTTGGACTATTAAATCTTCGTCTTCGGGAGATGACTAAAGGAGTTGAACTACTGAAAATACTGACGGAAAAACTTTTCTTCCTAACAGTTTAATTGTAACATGTCCCGAATATGTATTGCTGAAACGTATCCAAAACATTGACCAGTATACACTTGTTTAACGACGCCATCATTTCCCAAACAAAAGAAAATATTTGATGACAGTTAAATTTTATAAGTTTTCAATAGGATAGCATTTCTTTTACAAACATATTCCTTTTACAGAACAGCAAATAAAATATTCTGGGGACCCACTGCAAGATTTCACATTGGTCAGGTTTCTTGAACGATTTGTCTTCAAAAACCCAAAACAGCTGTCTGGTGCTGGAGGTCCAGATCCCTGTCTGGCGCTGAGGAAACACTACGTAGCGTCTGGCGCAAAGGCCGTCCCTATCACCAGCTCAGCATACTCACGCCAGGAAGAGAAGAACATACCTGTCGACGAAATCTTCTTGTACAGGTGATTGAACTGTAAATATTCTGTCAAATACCAACTTATACCAAGTGGTAACAAAAGATTTCTTCTGGGCTTCTTTGTTTGTTTAACTCTAAATGACCTACACCTAAATTTAATATTAATATTCTGAATACATTTTTCTGGGCAGGTCATGAAACCGTGGATAATGATAGGTCTTGTTGAAACTATTTATGTTAGATAACATATTTAATTGATAGTCCAATAAAAAATTGTGCCTAGATTCAGAATTTCCTGCTTGGAATCGAACTAGCAACTTTAAAATTTCAAAGCGAACACTACAACCACTTTCTTACCCTTACTATAGAATATGGTGACAAATATTTTCTTAGTGTACTTGATAAGAAGATTCATTGTTAAATAAATGCTAACATGACTAAGAGATTTGTATATTCCCATATAAGGTATCTTCAACAGCGGCGGACAACACAGCCGATAGACAAAGTGAAAAAAGAAGATGACAGCGATGTTGAGAGTGTTGCCAGCGAAGAGTTTGAAGAAATGCTTGACAATATGGTCGGCAAGATTGATGATGATCTTGACTTTGCTGATGATGTGGGCGATAAACTGAAGTCAAGCAAGAAGGGAAAGAAACGTCGAGGTGTGTTGTGTTTTATAAGCATAAGCTAATGACTTTAGTTTTAGAAAACTATCAGATAAAATGCTATAGTGTAGTGAGTTTCTTGTATATTACAGTAGAACCTTGATGACAAGACTCTCATGGGGGTTGTAAAATAAGACTTGTCATCAAGGTTGACTTCTTATCGAGGTTTGTAATTAGGGGTAAAATAATTTTAAGGGGATTTGAAAATGACACTTGTTATCAAGGGCTGTTATCGAGGGTCTTCTTATCAAGGTTCCACTGTATATTCAGTTTATCAAACTAATTAGTAATTAGATCCAGCAAGAATAGCTTATTTATGTTAAACTTTAAGGAAGTAGTAATGGATGCAGAATTAACTATGAAAATAAGTAGCTATGTAAATCATGAATTCCAGCTGACATCTTACCAACGATTTTGATTTAGAAAAATTGAGAAAAGTAATCGGCTGAATGTAGATTGTTAAGCTGTGTTTACAGACCCAAGTTAGAAAACTCAAATCGGTCTCAAGTTTACCATTGTGATAGATTAAATAAAGTACCAAGTATTCTAAAATAATTGTTGTTTTGAATTATATAACTTATTCTTTCTTATTATACTGTGATTTGGTGGGATTTGAACCTCGGACTTCAGGGACCAAAGCACTTGCTCTACCACTTGACCAGCTTGCTCCCCAATAGCTCCCTTATTCATTCAGCTCGTTACATTCATATTCATAGGGTTAACCTATTTGTTAGGTTCTTGTCAACTATTCAACATAAATTTGTTTTCCAATAGATGCAGAGAGTGAGAGTGATGATGGATTCAGTGATGACGAAGAGGACGATGTGGATGAAGATGAAGAGATGACAGATTTGGAGGATGAAGATGACGAAATGACTGATTTGGAAGATGAAGAAGGTAACGAAGACAGTGATGCTGAAGCGATAGACTTTGGCGAAGATGAACCAGACTTTGATGGTGACTTGGATCTTGATAATCTGAGTGAGGATGAGGATCCTGAAGATGACGAAAAGCCATTGAAATCCAAACAGGTTTGTATTTAAGTTTATTGTACTGTATTCCTTCAACTAATGTTTTTACTTTTAATACCAACTTTCTTACTTTTTGGATAACAAAAGTACATTTTAATGGGAACCTTGGTGGCTTATTAGGAGTTTTCCATGGTGTAGAGTTTAGCTACCTTAACTGCAATATTATAGTCCTGGAGCTAATAGATACAAAATGACACAAACTTACAGGATTTCTTAGAGAGTATGTGGAAGTCCTATTGAGACAAAATACCAGTGCTATGTATTGTGACCTTAAATCTTCGAGCCCCTGGACTCTACCTTTATTGGCTAAGCTATGTAAACTATTCTTGGTTTTGGGTCAAAAATTATTTTTTTTTTTTACCAACCTCTTTTCAAATGAAGTTACTGCTGAAATTACAAATTAACTAGGTGTGTATGTGTTTAATTTTAATATTGAGTCAAAGTAGTTGTACACAGTTAATATTAGTTTTGAATGTCATGAAACTAAGTCGTAAAATTAAAATCATCAATCTTTCAAAACCGAAATTGGCCAATACCAATTTACTCTGTTGACAGAGTAAAAAAGTGAAGGTGAAAGACATCCATTCCATGTTTGCTCCTGCGGAGAAGTTTGCTGAAATGCTGGAAGACGCTGGATCGTCCAAGGTGAAACTAGGAACTGCTCATGATGTCTCTAACAAGGATAATGCAGGTAATATTATCAACAATTTTTATTAATCAAATTACTTAAGTCTTTATGTTGGAAAACAGATAAATCTGTAATTGGGTGAATTACAAAAAAATCAAGAGCTAATATTGTACTCACAGTCGATGACTCATTTGTGGCAGTATTGTATGACCAAGTGTGTTGCACCGCTAAATGTTTTTTGTCTATCAGCAAAAAATGGTTGAAGAACAATGTTAAAGTTGAAACAATGTTTGTTTCAGCTATGAAACAGCTTCAATGGGAGTCTAAGAGGAATTGGGCTCTAAATGGTAAGAGGAAAACTAAGCCAAAGGGAAAACCATTCCATAAGGCTAAACGGAAGAAATATTAATCTTCTGGTGAACTTGTTTTTGTAAATGAGTTGTCAAATATGCTTGTTAATTATATTTTAATACTATCCAAGTAATTTATTTCCTTCTAAACCATGATGGTATTTTATTTATTTTTTATGCCTACGCCTGTAGCGTTTATATGAAATAAATCATAAACTTTTTTAAGGGAAAGCTGTCCTAACCCCAATTGTTGTGTACAAACTGGGGAATTGTCACTCTCACAAGTCTCGAGTAATGAAGGTACTTACACTTACTTACTTACTTACTCCCTCGACGTCGTTGACCAGCTCTTGCTGGATAGACTGAGTCAACAATAAAAATAATAATAATAATATTTATATACATATTTACAGGTTTGACACAAATTTTATAAAACTTATAAAACTAGTATATATTGTATTCTCTTGCATCATCATGCCTTGGTGAACCACAGGTGAAGCAGCTACACTCATAATAGATAGTTGGTTCTAATCATTGACTGTTGATACTACTAGACATTCTATCCCCATGTTATCACCAGTTTTTTTTTTTTATCAAAATTGTCATAGTTGATGTGTGCCAACAACAGAATGTACTTATCTAAATTGCCAATTTCTGTTTAATACAAGAACATTTTTACAATCTGTTGGTGGCTCAGATCAACTACGGTGATTTTGATTCAAAAGCTTGCGATAACTTTAACATGGGGATGGAATATCTAGTTGTATCAATAGACAATGGTTAAAATACTCACTCACGTTGAATAGTCAGGTTATATTCCTTCACTTTGCTGTGATCTACTTAACTTATTATGCTTCATTGCTAATTCTCTGGAGTAAAATTATAACTCAAGATCAGTTAGTCCTTCATAACTAACTAAACAACAATAAAATAAATCTGACAAAGATTTTTTTTACTGAGTTCTTAATACAGTTAACAACATCAGGAAACTCTGTTGGGGAATGTTTTGTCACAAATTAAGAGAAGTGTCTGATTATGATTTTTTGATCATTGACTTTGGAGACTGCTAATAATAGACTCCTCATCCTTGTCCTATTTTGTTCCGTGATTCATATCCAGTTACACTTATGCATGTCAAAGTCAACCAAATTACTGTTAAGTATTTTAATGAAAATTGTACAGTGTGTTCTGTACTTCTTAGTAACAATACTAAAAGACCTAAAAGTTCAAAACTCTCTCTGCAGATAACATATATTACATCCAAGTAATCTAAGTAAGCACTGCTTCACCTGGGTCGTGGTAATGCATTTAATGGGTAAATAAATTACAAACATAAGATTGCTTGAGTAGATTTAATCCTAATTGTATAAACATTGTGCACCTATGTAAGAGTGAAGTAACTGAAAGCCAAATAAAACTGTTTGGAACACATCGACTTACAAATTGCTTAGAGAATATTACAGGAATAAGTTTCAAAATCTTTATGTTCCTCATAAATAACAAAGAAATTCTACGATGTAATTACATTACAAATTCACTTCAGACGTATAAAAAACCAAAACATGACACTTTGTAATCATGTTTGTTTTTATTTGTGCAAAAACAATTATTTTCACAACCACCGTGTACAACTTAAAATAAGTTTTAATACTCAACATTTTAATAGCTCCACCGAACAATGTTGCAATACAACAATGTCGATGCAATATTGCACCGAGTATTTTCACTTTTCAGAAAACACAAAAAACGTTCTGGCCGCACCTTTGTCAACACAGCCAGTTTCCCGCACATTCAATTTTTTTTTTAAGTGCTGCCAACCTATGTATTTTTTTACACAAATTACCCTACGCAGTAGGGTAACCTACTGCATCAATGTTCTTTAAAAAATTTTAATTTCACACAATATGTTGTTTGCAATGATGTTCAGCAGAGATATTAATTTTATTTCTCCTTGATATTTCATAGCAGTGCTAATGTTAAAAAAAATAAAAAATAAAACTTAAACATACTTAAATATTTAAAAAAAATAAATCAATAAAATTGACTACCATGGAATTTAAATTACCATCTTCAATTTTTGCTTTATTTTTACTAAGAAATAAATATACACATTGTTCATTAGATGATTGTTACACAGCCAAATTTGGCTCAATCCTGTTGAACTTTTACAATTCTTTAGAACTGAAAGAAGCTTGACTTTCATTTCAATTCAGTTAAATTTTAATTAATTTCAGTTGAATTGTTTTTTTAGTTAAAGCTTAGAAATTAATAACAATCTACCTCCACAAATGACTAGCATAATACTGACCAAAGAGTATTTTATTATTTATGCAGTTTTTATTTTAATTTAGTATATTTTGTGCCAATTCTAGTTTTCTAATTTTCATTAAAAAAGGTCTTATCTCGAAGAAAATTTCAAACACTACCGATTAACAAAATGTCAAATGTCTATCTCTTACTCGTTTTCACAAATATTTTGCCTATTGCAAGTTCTACCATAACTAATGCTCACACCAATCTTTTACTCAATTTTCTTAAATAATTTTTTCTTAAATAGTGACATTTCAATAGTAGTATCATCACACAAATAGGTACACCTTCTGCTAAAAAACCCAAAGGCACTCTAATGCAAAAAATTAGTGAACTTATAATAGTTATTTGGCAATTTTTGTGTGTTTTTTTATAGTCTGTCAAACTAATTCATTGGCTTGTGAATATTGGTTAGATAAGACAATTCTAACTATGTAGAAATATTCTTATTGGTATAGAGTAAAAAGGTTATTCGAAAATGTTTTCTTATTGCACATCTGTACATTTAGATAACAGATTACTATTCAAACAAAGCTAAAAAAACAGACTAATTTTGGTCCTTAGAGAAGAGTGAAGAATTCAAGACCAAAAGAGGGCACAAGGGAAGAGCCTAGGTTCCAACAATTTTGTTGTAAAAGCAGGCTTGGCTTACCTGATTGGAAAAGAGTACATTATGGCACAAGAAATTCAAAAACTTTAAACTATACATAAGAGAAAGTAAATCAAGATACGCCTATTAACACTCTTGAAGCATACATCTACATTTTACACTGTTACTAAAAAAAACGGTAAATACATAAGATGGTAAGTGGTGATCAATTTTAGATTAGATTAATTATCATCAATTATTATCAATTAATTATCATGAGACCCAATAGGCGAATGGTAAGAACCTTGATGGTGTACCTACTTATATCCTATTGGCTTAGGTTCTTGTCATTCACCTATTGGGTCTAATAATGATTGAAGTGGCCAATCAAAATAGATCTACACTTACCATCTTTTATATTTACCTATGAGTTAACAGTTAAGGTGTAGATTTATGTTTTAAGAGTGTTCTTTGCGTATTTTTATTTCGTATTTTTATTTTTGCCTTTTGTAAATTTAATAACAGGTCAAATGTTGATCAAGAAGTTACTTACTATACATAGGCTAGGCTAACAAATTAGAATATTTCACTTTTACTTATGGTATTTTCAACCAAGTAAAGTTTGAGTTGGAATTGAAACTAATGTCTTCTCAGGATAGATATCCAGTGAACTTCCTGGCCAGTAGTGGAATAGTCTAAATTTGGAATAGGCTATGGAGTTTTGTATTTATTGTGCCATTATGTATTATTTCCTTTTCAGGTAGGTCTTGTATCCCATAAAAATTCTCAGGTTTTTAGACTATAAAATCTACAGATATCACTAGAATTCGTCGTCAAGTCCATCGTTATATGTATTCTTTTAATATTAACTGATTGTAGGGAATGACTTTTTGAAGGCCTTTGTTCTGAAAATGTGTGGGAATATAAAAAGATGACAAATTCTTCTTAAATTGTCATACAAATGTCTCCTCCTCTTGGTTGGATGATTGTTGGTAGCTGAAAAAATATTGATACTATCAAGCAAAAGTTAAACGTAATTTTGATAATGAGATATATAATATGTAGCCTAGTATATAATATTACTTTCTTTCCTACAAATTTTAAAATGCTGTATGAAATATAATGGATTTTGTAAAACTGCTGTATGCTTTAAGAGGCAAAGAATTGACCGAGATTTGTTACACCCAAGACCCAAGATTGGAGCACTAAGGAGTAACATTTGGGTGCAGTAGGGAGTAGACTCCACCCTCTAAAGTCAGATATAGTGTACAAGTCATGAGGTGTACTTGTATGTGTGAGATACCTGTCCATTAGTGAACTCTAGTGGAAGTTGTCAGGAAGGGTGAGTCGCACCTCAAATCAGACATTCGGTCACTTTTGAAAACTTGTTGTAAAATACTTTAGACATAAGTATTCAAAAGATTTAGGGTAAAAATAGGATAAGAATAGGTGTACTTCAATCACTGAAAAATTCATTTGAGTTCAAAGGGGAGTTAAATGTTAAAATGTGATAGAAGAAACGTATACCTTCAACGTCAATAGTTATTTCTGTAACTAGTGGGCGAAGTAGCAGTTTGCTGCACACGAGAGAAATGATTACGCACGAGCCGTAGGCGAGTGTAGAAAGTTTCTCGAGTGCAGCAAAAGCAGTTTTCACTCGTGTTACACATTATATTTTTCCTACAGTTACCCTAATTATTATACTACTAATTAATCATATAATTAATTAATCTTTCAAATACTGTTCAACACATTTTTAGGTTAGGTTAAATCTAGGGATAGACAAGTCTCGAAATTTCGGGAAATTTTAAATCTCATTCTACGAGACGAGATTAAAAAAAAATAAAAACGCCTTCAGAAAGTCAATGCAATACCCGCAATACAGGAGCGTGCTGTAGTTGCGTTTCATTTGCGAAGGCGTTCTTATTTTTAATTAGTTCTTTACATGTAAATATTCTTTTAACTGTTTTATCATTTTGAGAAGTTTTGTTAAGTGTAAGCAGTGTGAGGAATGTTTTACTACTGTAAACATAGCCAAACCAAGTAAGTATTTATACAAATTAATATTGTTTTTATTTTATGATTTATTATATTTTAGAATAAGTTTAACTCTATCCTAACTGATATCACCATGTTTCCTAAGCGTAAGCGTTATTTTTAATAAGTTAGGCGTAATTAATATACATTTTTTATACTGACGTTTTTTAATAAAAGATTTTAAATATCTTGCCTATTAACTTATTACTATTAGCGAATTTCCCATATAGGGAATAAGCTATTACCGTAGTACTCATGGTAAGACCTGGACCCGGGACCGATTTTTTTTTTTCGTTTTGAGGTCCCTAGAGGCCAAAAACACCATCCGTTCAAATTCATATATATATATATATATATATTTATATATATATTTATATATATATGTGTCCGTTAGCGCGATAACTCGAGCAAAAATGATCCGATTTTGATGAAATTTGGTACAAACGTGTAAACCTACGTTTATTCGATCGAGTTCGCGAACCAGCATGATCGGACCATGGGAACGGGGGTTTATGGGGCCTTTTATGGGGTAAAAATGGGTTTTTCCCATTTTTGACCCAAAAAACATAACATTTTGCAATTTCTTTCCAAACAATTTTGTAGAGCTTAAAAAAACAAATAATTTAGTATATCGAAGCGTTATAATGCGCCTAATGGTTACGGAGAAAATTCCAAAAAAATTTAAATTTAAAATTCTCATGTTATTCTTATGGAGAATAAGTAAACTGTTGTAGTTTGCTTGTTTATTAACATATTTTGCCCAAATTTGGAAAATGTTTTTATTTCTTACAAACTATTAACATTTTACAAAAAAAAAACACTTTTACCCTCCCTGTTGCAGCAAACCTAAGTATGTGTTAAGCTGATTCTATTTAAATAGGGAATAAATGTGATATTTTTAAGGAGATATTTTAGTGTAAATCCAATCAGGCAAATGGAAATTCGCTTAGTCTGCAGGTTTGCTGCGGCGGGGGTATTTTTGTATTCAAGCAGTCATCTAACAATGTTACAAAATCTGGTAAAAATTTCATGCATTTCAACATGCATTTCCCGTTATATATGAGAAGGGAAATCCCGTCACGATCTCGTCTCAAAATTTTATGAGAAATAAAAAATCTCGTCTCGTCTCAAACTAAAAATCCAATCTCGTCCATCCCTAGTTAAATCCAATAATTGAACAAAATGGGAAACGCTGCACCAGCTGATTGTAGTTGTAATATCTGTAAGTGTTGCCAATTTATTTTCAACCGTACACAAATTACGTGCATAATAAAAGCACGCTGTTTTGTGTTGTTGGGTCGAAATACTGGTGTGCGCCAAAGTAAGACTTTCTGTACTATAATCTGTGCAAGGAAGCCCACTTTGTCGGGTGTCTGTAGGAAAAAGTTATTTATTTAAGATGTATTTTTTTAGTGTATTAATCATTCTAAACTACAACTACCAACTAATACACTAAGTATACTAAAATTAGTAGTAATGCTCTTCTAGTTTTTAAACTTTTACCTTTTTTTAATCGAAAGAGATTTCCATTCACAATCTCGTGGTTCGGTTGTAACAGCTAAAACATGCACAACAAATTTTACTGAAGATCTATTTGAAACTGTGATTCTAAGAGCTAATATTCCTATTACAAAAAAAGGGTCAAACACACACTGATAACTCTAAATATTTGAACTATATTAGAACTCCAACTATCCTATGGGACAGAACATTTGGATGGTCAAAAATTTGGATAGTTGGATTTTAACTAAAATTAACTGAAAGATTTTACAATTGAAAATTCACACTTTTGCCATGGTTGCGAAGGACGATGAAGATGTCTATATAACTGTGGAGGTCTATGACAAAGTTTTTTACGGGAAACAATAATGATTTTCTATGACCGCAAGAGACTGACGATTTTCTCTGACTGCGAGAGACATTATTGATGTCTGTTCAAGATATTGCTACACTCGCGGAAGAGGATGATGTTTATTTAATTGTAGGAGATTTTTAGTATTTTTCCGTCATCGCAGAAAACAATGATGATGTCTATACGGCCATGGGATGTATTTAAGATTTTTGAGGGAGATGTTCAGGATTTTTCAATGATCACGGTTTCTGCCATCTTTAAAAACAATTCTTATCACTGTGGTTTTAGGGTTTTAAAAATGATTTCTGTAAGCTAATCGTATGGTGGAGTTCTACTGTGATATATAATAGTTTTTAGTTCTACTAAACTTAGTATACAACATCAGGTAGAAATATCAATCTACACAAATAGTTTTGGTAGGAGAGAATTTTTCAGTTCTTAATGAAGTTTAAATAATCTAAACCTGTGTATAATTTTTAAAATCTCTAACACTGGGGAATGAGCAATCAAATAAATATTTGTCCACTCTAATCTCCACTTACCTCTCTAGCAGTCGCCTCTTGAGGTCAGGAGGGTAGGTGACGTAGATGTAATGTTCACTGGCGTGTAGATCGTCCGAGGTGTAATACTCCTCACTGTAGTGTGAGTGATGTGCCGGACTGGAACTTGCTGTTACGCTCGTACTAGCAACGCTCATGTCATCCGAGCTGTAAGCAACAATGCCTACTGGTTTCTATGTCTGTTTATTTATAGTCTTATTGTATTCTGTGTTGTCCTATATTCAACTATAAAATGTGAAGGTATGCTTACTTTTGAACTTTTCCTTAAATGGCTTGAACAATTTTCTGGGTTGGAAATATTTACATTTTGCTGTACAATGGGACCTTGATTAACTATTTACATTTTAACTGTGAATTTATGTTATCTGTCCCTTCAAAATTATTTATTTACCTATTTTTACTCTAGGTTTTTGTGACACTAAAATTTGTTTATTCAGTACACTACACATATTTAGCTAAAATATAAATACATACTGTACATTAATAATATGATATTATTTAAGATTATCGTGTGCACTGTGTTGTTTCTTTCCAAAATCGTGGTTAGTTTCCAAACTGAAATAATTTATAAGGAAATTTGTATCCTTAAATTATGTTTACTGTCCTAGTCCCAGACCAAGAGGGACGGTTAAGTAGAGATTTAATTGCATGTAGATTATAGATGGTTTTAAACACATTTAGATAGTTGCACAGATGGAAGTTGAGCTTAGGTTATGTTATGTTAGTCTTGTATCTGGTACATCAGCCAACTGAGCTCAAATAGTTCATAACTTATTTCACAAGAATTCATCTGTTGATATTGTATTTACTGATGTTTATACTGACTCAAAGAGCACCCATATGATGTAGTAACAGAGGCAGATGCCCAGGGACAAGACCATGGTGAACACCGTGACCAAACCCCACGGGAAGTGACGGAGGTCAGACGTGGAGTCCTGCCAATAGCGATCACATGTGAGGTACCAGCAGACAGCTTGGTTGAGTTCCTCTGTAAAAGTCAAACACCGCTATTACAAGTAGAATTATTCAAAACAAAAGAATTGGAACTTGACTCTGCCCAGGTATTGAAAATATCTGAAGACGGTCTCTAAGGTACGCATCTTGGTAACTAAGATTTCTTACGACTGAATCCCTGGCTCTGAGGCTCTTTGAAGCCTTGCCAAACTCAACACTTGCCCCCACCTCAAAGGGTCTGGTGATTACTCTAGTTACCATACATATAAGGTGATAAAGTATAAGTTTAATTGAGGGTTATCATAAATTATGTCAGCTACAGAGCTGAAGGATTTTACAGGTTATAAATTAAATGGAATCATGATGTCTTAAATAACAAGTACTTTAGCAACAGGGAGAAAAAATGAGTTGGCCAAAAATTCTGAACTCATGTTGTAAAGGTTGTATCATTTTCATTCAGCTTTTGCCAAGTTTGGCAATGCAAAATGTAAGAGAAAACGACAACCTCTTACTTTATTGAATAATAAAACTTAAATGGAGTAACAGATTATTTTTACTTAGTTTTTCATTGGTTAATTTTTCTATTGCCTACAGAGCATTAGTGAAATTAATTTTATAATGATGAATATGTAATTATTACCTTCAACATCCTTGAAGTCTTGAATAGATAAGTTGACTAGAAGACCTGCAATGCAGTCTCTTACTAAAACCTAAACAGTTCACACCTCAGTAAACAAAGCATCAATCTTAAAGTTTGTCATTATATTGAATTTTAGCCTCCTTATCACAGTTAAATACTAAATAATGGTGTAAATACCTGCATTTATGTGATCAATTTGTTGCTAAATTGCAACCGGTTTCGACTCACAAAGGAGTCATCGTCGGGCCAGTACAGATGTCTTCTTGCTTCATTTGAAGGTCGTCGATTCATGATAAATAAATACATTTAACACGTACACGTACACGAACATAAAAACAAACATTTAGGGCTAAAAACGAAAGATAATACAATATGGTAATGGGACACGACGTGATCGGGCGGGGGGGATTGTATTATCTTTTGTTTTTAGCCCTAAATGTTTGTTTTTATGTTCGTGTACGTGTGCGTGTTAAATGTATTTATTTATCATGAATTGACAACCTTCAAATGAAGCAAGAAGACATCTGTACTGGCCCGACGATGACTCCTTTGTGAGTCAAAACCGGTTGCAATTTAGCAACAAATTGATCACATAAATGCAGGTATTTACACCATTATTTAAAGTTTGTGTTTTGATAATCATCAAGAAGCTTTAATACAATATACAATACAATTAGGGTTTTCTCTGTTACGTCGATGTTATAGCTCCCAACATGTGTAAGTGTAATTAGTGAATTGAGGCTGTATTCTATTCAGGTAAATATTCTAATTTTATAACAATCCCTCTTTCTCCGTCCTACTAAACCTATTTATACTATCCAGGTGTCATAGTAAAGCTTATGATCTAGCAAACTGACAAATGGTAAGTAAAAATTTCCTTTAGGGCTTCACCCCTCCCACAGCGTTTAATTTTTTTTAGACTTCACTTTCATAGATTCAATAATGCTGACCAACTTTATTTATAAAAGTTTAACAGCTGATCTCTTAGTTAAATGTTTAACCACAGTCAGATTTTAACTAAAAGACCAAACCAGTTTAACAAAGTGTATTATTTCATAACACAAAGAATAAAATCATACGATCAGCTGGTAATTAAAATTCAGTCTATTAGAAAATTATAACACCAGCTCACCTCACAACGTAATTTCACCTTCTGGAGTTCCTCAGGTTTACAATTAGCTTTGAGTTTCTGCAACTCGCTAACCCGCTGGTGTTTTGGGGGCACTGATGAGTCTACTAGGTTGTCTGGACACATACCTTGAAAACAAATAAATTCATACACCTAAATATTTCAGTAATTTACAACTCTTTTTGTCTACTTAATGAAATCCCTGATAGACATTAAAATCTTGAAAGCACAAAAAATATGTTAAATTTCAGAATCATATTCGCCTATTGGGTCTGATGATGATTGGAGTGTCCAATCGAAAGCGATCACCCCTTACCATCTTTTATATTTATTTACCGTCTTGTGAGTAGACAGTATAAGTGTTAATAATAAATACATTATTACAAGTGTTTTTTGACAAATTTTTTGTGCTTTCAGGTAATGTAATAACACTTACGATTCTGATCACGAAGTTATTTATTAAAATCTTAAAATACTAATTTCATAACAGTTACAAATGAAATATAAAGTAGAAACGTTTACACGACCCTCAATGACACGTCAACCTCGATAACAAGTGCACTTTTAAAATCTGCTTGAAAACCCCATAACACTCAATGTTAAATTAACCTCTATAAACGAATATTTCTATCTAAACAACCTCAACAAGACACCTTTTTTCAAATTACGAGGGTACTTAGAACCTCTATGACAAGCCATATTGAGAAGTCAACCTTGATAACACGACCCTCAATAAAAAGAGCACCTCGATAACAAGACTATTTTCATAATCCCCTTAGGACACTTCTTATCGAGAAGTATCAGGAAATAATTTTTAAATGGATTTACCTTCAGAGATCACACATTTTTGTCAACTGTCTCAATGAAATAAAGAATTTGAATGTGTATGTAACAGTTTCAAAATTTGGATAAAAATGTAATACTAACTTCGGTTTATTTCTAACAAGATTACTTGAGGCATTGGCTTATGTTTTACTGGTCCATACCATTGACTAGACATCCCATATATTTGAACCAGCCAAAATATTTCATCAGATCATAGTTGAAAGAGCCATACTCATAGACACACTCTGTTACTGATCAAATTCTATTCCTCCCTAAATTTGTTATACTAAAATGTTTGAATATTACAAAAAGGATTCTACAACAGTGAGTTGTGCCTTCAGTTTGGATTAGTTGGAAGGTTGGCATAATTGACATAAAAAATCATTTACATCAGCATAATTTATGTCAGCACAATCGTTTTTGCTTTTTGGCTCAGTATAAACTATGCCAATTAATTGTCATTCTAAAACTAGCTCCCAACTTTAATATAGGATTGGTACGTCTAATTATCAGTCAATGATATTGTGAATTCATATAAGTAAATATTTTAGTCTCATTAACTACAAATGAATTTTACCTCAACTAAAACAATTCATTGAGTAGCTTAAAACGTAGTTCTTTTCAATGACTCACCTCCAGTGTGGTTATCCGAGTCCGATGGTGCCTCTGACCGAGGACAGTGTGCGGGTGTGGGTGTGGTAGGTGGTGGAGGGGTAGGAGGGTGGGGAGAGGTGAACACTCCTACCCCCACCCGAGCTAGCGCCCGAGGTCCCACAGGGCTAAGTGCCGTGTGGTATGCCGTAGCTTCCCGCCATATCTCGATGTCTGTGTTGCCTTGAGTCACATCCGGCCCGAGGTCTTGGGTGCGCAAAACCTCACAGCGCATTATGTCACAGTAGTCGGCGAGACAAACGGCATCTTCAGCCTGTAAAAAAAAATTATAAGTACTAATATTTGGTTAACAAGGTTCTTTAAACATTTCTTACCCAAGTATTTTATGGTAGAACTTAATTGACTCTAACAATCTTAATGATTGTTTAACTTTATTACATATAAGGCTTTTATAAGAACTATTACAGCCAATCTCGCAGAATGTTTGTAGTGTTGGTTTACAGGACCTCAATTGAGTAACCTCCCGAAGCAGATAGTGAAATATAAGGAGCTGAGGAGAGGATAAAATAGCTTTTTTCTTCTTGTGTTGGTCCTCCTTGTAACTTATATGGTGAAGCATGTACATATAAAAAATAACTATGTCTCAATCAATCTGATACTTGGTTTTACCATAAATTCTCTTTCCGTAATATTTTTTCTGAATGAATACATTCATGCTAGCTAACCAAATATATAAATTTTTGAAATAGGTTGGCAGACTTTTTAACCTTGCATTTGCCTGTCCACATACCTTTTGTAGTATAGTGAACTATACTGATAATAAGTAATCTTAGATATATGAGAATCCAAACCTACTACGTCACTCACTGCCTTATTGGGCCAGGAGTCTGCCGTGCTTTTGACTCACCATATTCAGGTTAAAGAACATTGTAAGGCACTTCAGCAACAATTATTGTAAATGAAAGATCTTACCATATTAATGTTGTTTTTGTGCCTGTTGTCAAAGTGCATATCTAGGAACCTCTCGTCATAAAATGACTTTCCACAGAGGCCGCAGGTCCATTGTGAAGGACGGTTCTGTATCTTGGCGGCTTGCTGAGGTCTGAAGATGTCTCTCAGCGGATGAAAGGGACATTCCAGAGGGATCTGGACTTGGTACTTCTCCAGCACTGGAATCCATTTCTGAAATTGTTTTTATAAAAGTAGAATTAAATGGGGCTTTTAATATGTCCAATGATTGTAGATCGGGAAAAACTAACCAAGTGAGTAGGCGGTAAGAGTGTCTGAGTATACCGGGACCATATCAATGACAGCTGGGTCTATTCTTGAACCATTGAAAAGTTTTTTTTTTTATTATTAAAATAAAAATAGACTTGCCAGGATTGAACTGGTGACTTTTAGATGACCATTTAGTAGTTACATGTAGTGCTAAACAGTAATTAAGTGCCTCTAACATTTTATGGATAAAATCGTTCCATTATGTCATTAACTCTACTTGTGTATAACTCATAGATTAAATTTTACCTTTTGTACTATTTTGCGAACGATAGTTGCGCTGTCTCGAGGGCAGGATATCTTGAAGACTGTCGGTCCTGGCCAAGGTATTACAGACAGCACGACAAGCGTGAGCACCTGCAGATAAGAAAATCTAATTTTTTAAATATCCTTAAAGGGTTAACAGCTTTAATGTGTCATCATTGGTACAACTCAGAAACTATGCCGGTTAGAAATGACTTTCAAAGGGAGACTTCTAATTTTTTAATGAAAATCTGTTTTTTTTTTTTAATTGACATCACTTTTAAATATAGCTGCCAACTTTCTTACCAAATCTTCCCTAAGTTCGCCCTTCCCGGACGGGTGACGGATATATCCGCCTAAGTCTTTGGCGATAAAGGACGGGTGGCGGATATATCCGCTTGTGGTTTTTGATGTTCTGGACGGGACCCGGATATATCCGCCTTCTCTTCAGACAGACTGGCAGGTGCTTGAGTTGTAACCAGATGTTTCACGGTACCAAAGCGCCACTTTCCTGCCCTCTCCATGGCTGAGCTCTCTCCCCCTCTCACCCGCGCCTACCCCTCTCCCGTGCACCCCCCACCTCTCCTACGCTCCCCCCTCGACGTTTCACGCTCAACACTACGTTGTTTGATTGTTTACATATTGTTCTTTATTTATTGCCTAACGTTGTCATGGACATATCTTCAAAGACGGGTGGCGGATATATCCGCCTAAGTCTTTGGCGATAAAGGACGGGTGGCGGATATATCCGCTTGTGGTTTTTGATGTTCTGGACGGGACCCGGATATATCCGCCTTCTCTTCAGACAGACTGGCAGGTGCTTAAGCTGTAACCAGATGTTTCACGGTACCAAGGTGCCACTTTCCTGCTCTCTTCCCACACTCCCCCCTCTCCCGGCGCCAACCCCTCTCCCATGCACCCCCCACCTCTCCTACGTTCCCCCCTCGACGTTTCACGCTCAACACTACGTTGTTTGATTGTTTACATATTGTTCTTTATTTATTGCCTAACGTTCTCATGGACATATCTTCAAAGACGGGTGGCGGATATATCCGCTGCTTTTCTAATCATCTGTGGACGGGTAGCGGATATATCCGCTGCTTTTCTAATCATCCGTGGACGGGTAGCGGATAATATCTGTATAGTTAAAACAAGTAAAAATTATTTTTACAGTATAAAGTGTTCCATTGTGTTTATTTTATGTATATTTGTATAACAAAACACAATAGGTTTTGTTTCATACAAAATTCCTAAGTAGAAACTAGTTGTAGTGAATATAATAAAAAAAAAAAAAAAAATTATAAGGATGCATTATTTTTTTAAAGTGAACAAACATATATACAGGGTGTTTTTTTAAAAACTTGCATCTTTATTTATGTAAAAACCGCAATAGATAGAAATATTCAGTTTACGGGAATCATCTATTGAAGTAGGGGGCACAATTTTTTTAAATTCAACGTTACATTCACATTCCCCCGCTTCCCCCCCCCTGCCACCAACTTATTTTTTTGAAATAGCAAGGTACCCCTTGTGACATATCCAATGAAAGAGCATGAAAAAAGAAAATGTTTGATGAAAAAAAAATTGAAAATCGGTTCATAAACTTGTGAGATATTTCCGCCCCCCCCTCCCCAGAACTTGATTTTTTTAATCGCAAGGTACCCCTTGTGACATATCAAATGAAAGAGCATGAAAAAAGAAAATGTTTGATGAAAAAAATTAAAATCGGCTCATGAATTTGTGAGATAATCCCCCCGCTTTTCCCCTACCCATAACTTTTTTTAATAGCAAGGTACCCCCCCCCCTTGTGACATATCAAATGAAAAATAAATTTCACCAAACATTTTCTTTTTTCATGCTCTTTTATTTGATATGTCACAAGGTGTACCTTGCGATTAAAAAAAAATTAAGTTTTGGGGAGGGGGGTAATATCTCGCAAATTTATGAAACAATTTTAAATTTTTTTTCATCAAACATTTTATTTTTTCTTGCTCTTTTATTTGATATGTCACAAGGGGTAAGTTTACCTTGCTATTTTAAAAATACCCCCGCCGCAGCAAACCTGCAGACTTAGCGAATTTCCATCTGCCTGATTGAATTTAAACTAAAATGTCTCCTTAAAAATATCACATTTATTCCCTTATTTAAACAGAACGAGTAATGTCCAGTGGTCGAAACTCGACCAAAAATATGTAATGTACTCACTTATGTTAACGTTTCACCCCACACTGTAAATAAAACATGTGATTGGAGTTTCTTCCATTTGTTTTGATTTTCTGTTTATATTTCGTTGTTATTTCGTCACCAGCATGGCAACGCATAAGATCCATGTAAATTTTTTCAAATTTTTAAACTCATTTTTTGCGCTTATCTTTGAGCCTATTTAAATTTATAAAGGGATTCTGCACACCTACAGGAAAATAGCTTTCTAACGGTATGCGTAGATTTTCCCTACGATGCACACGAGCTGAGAAAAAAGGTTTTAAAGAAACATGCTTGCCTATTAATATATAGATAGATTAGTTTAATCAGTACTTAGGTTTGCTGCAACAGGGAGGGTAAACAAGTTTTTTTTTTAAATGTAAAATATTAAAAAGTACTGTGGTTTAGTAAGAAATTAATGTATTTTCCAAATTTGATCAAAATATGTTCATTAACAAGCAAACTGCAACAGTTGACTTATTCTCCATTATGAATAACATGGGAATTTTAAAATTACAATTTTTTTGAATTTTCTCCGTAACAATTAGGCGCATAATAACGCTTCAATATACTAAATTATTTGTTTTTTTAAGCTCTACAAAATGGTTTAAAAAGAAATTGTGAAATTTTGTGTTTTTAGGGTCAAAAATGGGAAAAACCTATTTTTACCCCATAAAACCCTCCATAAACCCCCGTTCCCATAGTCTGATCATGCTGGTTCGCGAACTCATTCAAGTTTATCCCACCTTACACCTTCAAACCAAATTTTATCAAAATCGGACAAAAATTACTCAAGTTATCGTGCGGATGGACACATATATATATATATATATCTCTATATATAGATATATAAAAATTTGGACGAATGGTGTTTTTGGCCTCTGGGGACATCAAAATGAAAAAGTAAATCGGTCCCGGGCTTAGGTCTTACCATGAGACCTACGGTAATAGCTACTTCCCTATAGGGAAATTCGCTAAAATAAGTTGGGGGAAGGGGGGGGAATGTGAATGTAACGTTGAATTCAAAACAATTGGGCCCCCTACATCAATAGATGATTCCCGCAAACTGCATATTTCTATCTATTGCGGTTTTTACATAAATAACGATGCAAGTTTTTAAAAAAACACCCTGTATATGTTTTATTTGCAATCACAAAATTCAAGTGTAATAGTAAACATGTTTTGTTTATTGGGTGTACGATTTTATAATAAAACCTATTTGGCTCTAGTTAAGTAATTGTTTTATTATACAGGCCTAATGGGGTTTTTATTCGTGTCTACATTATTTAAATTGAAATACATAGCTAAAATTAATTTTGGGCACAATTTTAATCCATTCTTAAAACTTATTTCTTTGGATTAGATGCATTAATTCTTATTTAAATTTTAGTGACTGGAGAAACCACTTTTATTTATTATATCACTTAGTAAGATTATATTAGTAATGAAAATGTTTCATTCAATTATTGAACTGCAGTTTTTACCCATGTCACAAAATATGATTTATACAGTGGTTTTAAAATATTGAATTTCATTCTCATTAATAACTTTACTGACTCTACATTTTGTTGTAGAAGAACTATTGCAGAAAATTGTTGATAAGTGCTCCGGTGTAAAGTAGTGCCTTCAATTCAGCCACAGCCGGCCATAAAGGTGCTGTGCAGTGAACAGTGAGTAGACATACCCTCCCCAGTATTGATCCACGAGCTTACGATATAACCTCTAGTAAAAATATCAACCAAACATTCTCGTCTGCTATATAGCCATTCAGAACATTTCTTTATTCAACTGATACAACTCGAATACGTCATCTACATTTTATCAATATTTGAGTCGTAAAAACGAGCTACTGTATAAAAGTATGATGAAACAAATCATCATAATGCAGTTTGTAATTTGGATTTGCATAATAAACTATTTACTGACCTCAAAATTAAATCCTTTAGACCTCATGCATATTTCTGGTAGTGTACCGCTACTTTATAATCTTGTATACATTTCTTGTGATTTATCTAAGGAATGATTGTGCACTAATAAATTTATCTCCAGCATTAACCCCTTCCTGTGTTTCTCAAAGCCGCCACTAGGACCGCTGGCGCTGCCTGCTTGTTGTATTTGACTTGATTAATAAATCATTATAAATTAATCTCTAGGGCGTTGACTCTATCAGTGATAAATTATTATTTACAATGGACATGGACAAAGCTTTAGAAGGGCATGGGGAAATTAAACTATGCTTAATTTAATAATAACTTTAGAAAAAAGCTATTCAATCTTTTACGTTTAGCAAATTTCTCATTTTAATATAGGCTAATATGATTTGGGATAATTAAATCTGCTGGACAACATACCGGCCACCAATTTGGAAGATTGCTCCATAGCTTGAATTTCAAATGATAGTGGTAAGTTTCTGGATAAAAACTTACTTTTTGAGGGACAATGTACGAAAAATGCAATCGTGTAGGCCCAATCGCAATGGTTTATCATAAGCTAATTATTTAATTGCGAACTGTAAGCTTACTCTATAAAACACTTGTTTAAAGTAAAAATTACTTTGTGTTCTTCCTATATTTAAATTTTCCAAATCAGATAAAGACTTGAGGCTACGAAACTGTAATTTTCGGCGCCGCGCAAAGACGGGAAATTCGGTGGAAACGGGAAGGGATCAAGGTCATATCATATAACCACGGTCATAACACCACTTGACTACTGTACCACAGAGAACCAGAGAAGTTATATACTGTACTTTATTACTAAGAAGTAAAAAGATGCAATTCTTACTTTTATGTGACTTTTATATACACAGTGTCCCCGAATTATCTACCGACCTTGGTATCATTCGTCATGGACCAAAGACAAATTAAAATATCACATTCCAAATTTCCAAAACTAAAAAACAACCCGGTTGGCCGCCATTAAAATTTTTTTTATTTGATAACGGATTTTTGTTGTGAATTGGAATTTGGTGCATAGATTAATAATGCAATGCAAGACCTATTAAAAGAAAAAAATATTTCTTTTTGTTTATCATGTTTGCACCAGTTTTAGAATAGTGGTACTTTTTAAACTGAAATACGGTACATAACTACATAAGTTAACTGCTATAGTTAGCTAAAACAAACAGCTGTTTGAATTGTTGGCACAAAAATGAGCGCAAATCTTGAAATACACATTAGCCTATCTTAAATAGTTATTTGTGTAATTAGTGAGCGAACTTTGCAAGCGCAACACAAAATGTTTCCTACAGTAAACAGTAACTATAAAGCATATACATAATTAGTCTTTCAAACACTATAAAACACGTTTTTAGGTTAGGTTTTCTGTATATAATAAAAGCACACTGTTTTGTGTTGTTTGGTTGGAATACTGGAGCGCGGCAAAAAAAAAGAGTGACAATAGTAGTCCAGTCGGCAGGTAGAACAAACAAGCGTTAGATGGGAAAAGGTCGGAAGTTAATGAAACCTGGGGATGTTGTTCAGGGATGATAAATTCAACATTTTCCCAAGTTTTGGACCTCGAGGACCCTGTGGAAAAAAGATGGTGGGGGAAAAACTTCAAAATTTTGGGCACTTTTTTGCTTTTAGCGAATTTCACTATAGGGAAGTGTAGGTCTCATGGTAGACTTAGGCCCGGGACCGATTTACTTTTTCATTTTGATGTCCCCAGAGGCCAGAAACACCATTCGTTCAAATTTTTATATATGTATATATATATATAGATAGATAGATTTATATATATATGTGTCCGTGAACACGATAACTTGAGTAATTTTTATCCGATTTTGATGAAATTTGGTTTGAAGGTGTAAGGCGGGATAAACTTGAATGAGTTCGCAATCCAGCATGATCGGACCATGGGAACAGGGTTTTATGGGGTAAAAATAGGTTTTTCTCACTTTTGACCCTCAAAACACAAAATTTCCCAATTTTTCTCTAAACCTTCTTAAAGAGCTTAAAAAAACAAACAATTCAGTATATCAAAGCGTTTTTGTACGGTTATTGGTTACGGAGAAAACTAAAAAAATTGTAAATTTGTAAATTCCCATGTTATTCTTATGGAGAATATTGTAAAATGTTGTAGTTTGCTTGTTTATGGATATCTTTTGATCAAACTTGGCAAATATATTCATTTTCTACTAAGCAATAATTATTTTATTCAAAACACACACTTTATTAGTTTCCTTGTAGCAGCTAACCTAGGTACTCGTTAAACCTAATGTTATTTAAATAGATCGATTGAAAAGCCAAATGGAAATTCGCTTAGACGGCAGGTTTGCTGCGGCGGGGGTATTTTCTCAATAACTTTTCCCTTACTTCCTACCGAAAAAGCATACATTACACATTTGTAGAGTGTTAGATTTCCTACAATTCTACAGTTCAAACATGTTTGTACAATAATTTGTTACCAAGCAATAGTATTTTTATTTTAATGTATCTTTAAAAAAATCACCAAAATATGAAAAAAAAAAAAACAGATTTCCTACATATTTTTTCTGTTGCACGCAAATTATCACAAAATTTTTTAGTAATTATGGTTCCAAGTTATAAGCACCATATTTGGATACACCCTCCCCCACCATACTACCCATCCCTTCCAAACCCAACCCCAATTCTCAAATGCTAATTTTGTTCTTCGATGAAAACCAACCATATTCAGATCTTTTTGGTCTTGATATCAGTTACTTTTCGCAGCTGAGGTGTTATCAAAACCACCTGCTGTGTGGAGGAGAGGAGCAGAAACTTGGAGAGTAGAAGACACCGGGATATGTGCGCCTCCCACTTTTTATGAAGATAGACATTATTTGTATTATTTCCTAATGCTGTCAAGAGAATAAGTGTGTCTACATCTTGAACAGTATTGACGACGCTATCGAATTCGTTAGCCTTGGATATGTCGGTTTTGACGATCATCATGTCGGCGTCCTCAGATGCTTGTAGGAGTTTTGTTCCACACCACTTTATGTAACCTCTAATTACGTTATATTTCCTGTTGACAATGTTTACTTTCTCTATAGGAGTGAAAAGTGAGTACATTACAGACTTTGTTCCCTTGCACATTCCTTCCTCGATAAAGATTGATATGGGTAAGGGGGCGAGTTCAAACTTAAAGACCTTATTTATATATTACTCAAATATTTTTGCGACGCAGACACACTGGAAAAGAGTGAGAGGATAGACAGTGAGTTTTTTACCAGAAATTTTCAACGAGCATGAAACAGAAGTGAGAATCACCACCTTGTCCATCCGTTTGAGTTTCAATTCTTCAACATTTTCATCCATTATTTTCTTCATGTATGATATGCTTATTTCTCGTGCGAAGTGGCAGTTAACGTCACTGATGTATGTTTTGATGGTAGTGTTTAACAACATATTAATCAATTGTAATTGTGAATAATATTGTGATAGTGTGAAACCAGGGTGTAGAAAGCCACCTTGATCAGTTGAGTGCGGGGTGGGTGAGGCGTGGGAGTATCCGGATATGGTGCTTATAACCTGGAACGATAATTACTACAAAATTAAGTATTAATTTGCGTGCAACAGAAAAAATAAGTAGAAAATCTGCCTTTTTGCATATTTTGGTGTATTTTTTAAAATATATTAAAATAAAAATACTATTGCTCGGTAACAAATTATTGTACAAACATGTTTGAACTGTAGAATTGTAGGAAATTTAACGCTCTACAAAAGTGTAACGTATGCTTTTTCGGTAGGAAGTAAGGGAAAAAAGTTATTGAGAAAAAAACAAAAAAGTGTACAAAATTTTGAAGTTTTTCTCCCACCATCTTTTTTCCACAGGGTCCTCGAGGTCCAAAACTTGGGAAAATGTTGATTTATCATCCCAAAATAACATCCCCAAGTTTCATTAACTTCCGACCTTTTTCCATCTAAAACTACCTGCTGACTGGACTATAGTTATTTGTGTAACTAGTGAGCAAAGTGGCACCTTGCTGCACACGATAAGATAATTAAAATAACTTTGACGAGAAATGGGATTTTTACCATTTTGTTCAGCATTTAAAGGACTTATACACTAAATTTGTATCAAAACTGTTCAGGCCATTTTTGAAATAATCCTATTTTTCCATTATTTTATGGTAAAATCTCAATTTAAAAAAAAATGAAAAAAACATCTGGGAATACCATGGCTTAGTTAGTACCTACAAACTAAATTTCATCAAAATCGGACTACAGGTGTGGTCTGTAGCTCATACACATCTGGATGTGTATGTCTGGACATCACTTCGAAAATTTTTGTTCAGGGGAACCCAAAACGAATATATCCACTCAAAACTTTAACATTTTGACGAAAACAATACTTTCTCCACATACTATGGTATAGGTGGAAAAGTAAAATAACATTTTTGCATTTTCATTTTTCAAACAAATCTTGGGGTCAAGTCTTATCTTCATCTACCACAAATGACAGAGGGGAGTTTGATTGTTTCGGTTCCAGCATCAATAGGGTAAAGGTTCTACTTAATCTCTTTTGGTTTTAGCAATTTCTCATGTAGGGAATGAGCTAGGTCTCTTTGTAAGACCTAGATCGATTTGAGCAAGTTGTGATACACAGTGAGCAACTTTATATAGGTAATCTAAATCCTAGCTGGTAGGAAGAAGCCATCATATTCATGGTAAGTGATATGCAAAAGAAAATGGCCAATCATACTTGCCTCACAAGCAGCATAGACAGCTGATTTTGAAATAGTTTCTTGTTAACATCAATTATGAGACTAGAAAGGCTGGCCATTTTCAAAGCTTGTAAAATGGTTTTGATTTTGACCATTCCATTAAGCAAAAATCTGCATTGAAACTAAAGTTTTATCTTATAGAAATATTATTTTTAGAGAAGAAGAACCTTGCAGTACATTTTAAGGACAGGTAATGAAATCAAACTTTCACAAAATTAACCAGTTTAATGCTGATATTATGTTACAAATATTAAATATGAAATAAAATTGTTATCTAAGTTAAGAAAAAGAAAAACTATTTTAACACAATGACATGGTAAGGCACACAGTTCCGCCAGAGTGTAGAAATTGTTCTGAGCTGAGGTTTGCTTCTTACGACAACTCACCTTAAAAAGAGTAAACTCCATAAACATATTATGAACATTTTCGAAATATCATGATCTTTTCACCTCCGCCAATTAAGCCTAAGTAATATATTGAGCTAGGATAGTAAAGAAGAAAGACGTTCAATAGTATAACTAAAATAATGTACAAACAGGAAACAGTCCTGCAACGAGGAATGTAACAAGGGTTTTACAAATACAGTGACGAGATAGGCAACTTAGAGCGGTCTACATCGCTGAAGTATTTATGCTTCAGTGCTTCTTTGCCTGAGATTCTCTTTGCTGGGTCGTATATCAGCATTTTCTGGAATCAGAAAACAAATATCATTTTCATTTTATATAGTCTGACAAATCACTAGGTCCTGAGGTGACTTTTTCCGAGACAAGATCTAGTGGTTTCAATAACTCAGGTAAAGCCAAGGATTGAAATCAACAAATAATACAATAACAATACTTAGTTGTTGTTAACCTGGGTAATTTTTTAAGCTAGCTCGTAGTTCCTCTAGTTCTAGTTTTTTATTTATTTTATAAATATAAAGATTGATTAAATTGTTTGAAGGAAGACCACTTGGCTTGTAATAACATTAAAGAAAAATGAATTTATGAACAATTAACACACATCTGAAAAAAGTTCCAGGAAGTTATTAGCGCAGAATAATCATAAAACTATTACAGTATCAGTAGCTTAACATTTTGCTTTTCTGTGGTAGCTTCCCTAGATGGCAGATATGCCGATGTTTACTTCAATATAATACAATTTCAAATTAGCCGAATTGAATTGTATTTTTTTTTAGCTAAAAATTGGTTGAAGTATGCATCAAAAGTTTATTTTAGCGAATTTCCCATATAGGGAATAAGCTATTACCGTAGGTCTCATGGTAAGACCTAGACCCGGGACCGATTTACTTTTTCGCTTTGAGGTCCCCAGAGGCCAAAAACACCATCCGTTCAAATTCATATATATATATATATATATATTTATATATGTGTCCGTTAGTGCGATAACTCGAGCAAAATTGATCCGATTTTGATGAAATTTGGTACAAACGTGTAAACCTACATTTATTCGAACGAGTTCGCGAACCAGCATAATCGGACCATGGGATCGGGGGTTTATGGGGGGTTTTATGGGGTAAAAATGGGTTTTTCTCATTTTTGACCCTAAAAACTTAAAATTTCTAAATTTCGCTCTAGATCATTTTGAAGAGCTTAAAAAAACAAATAATTTAGTATATTGAAGTGTTTTTGAATGTTCATTGACTACGGGAAAAATTTAAAAAATTGTAAATTTAAACTATAAAAGACGTATAAAATTACCTAAGTACTGCCACAATGATCCTGTTGGTCCTTACGGACTACGCCAATGATCCGTAAGGACCAACAGGATCATTCTGGCAGTACTCAGGTAATTTTATACCTTTTATAGTTTGTTCTGTGATCCAGAGACAAAAACAACTCAAAATATGAAGTAAATTTAAAATTCCCATGTTATTCTTATGGAGAATAAATAAACTTCTAGTTTGCTTGTTTATGGATATATTTTAATCAAATTTGGCAATTTGGTTTATTTCATACTAAGCTATCAATATTTCAATTGAAAAAACACATCTCAACATCTTCCCCGTAGCAGCAAACCTAACTACTCACTAAAATTAATGTTATTTAAATAGGAAATAAATCTGAAAATTTATAGGGAATATTTTAGTAGAAATCAAGCCGGGTAAATGGAAATTTGCTTAGTATGCAGGTTTGCTGCGACGGGGGTATTATTTTTTATATTTTACCATTTTAGTTTAACATATTGTTAGTGAATTAAATGGGATATGAGCCAGTTACAGTACAGATGAACAGTGTTTATCAAGACATCTTGATGAAGGTCAGATTAGATGTTATGACATTGACACATAGGGTGTGTGTGTAAATGCATTTCCCAAAATAAACATTACCAGACAAATTGAGTTTACTAATGCAAAGCAATTTATAATAAGTCCAAGTGTCAGACTTAGTCTAACAATAAGAAGTAAGGAAAACAACAATAATTGTGTAATTTAAGTAAAACTACCCCTCTTAAGCTTTTGAGCTCTAAAGGAGCTTATATTTTTGTAACATTTATATTGCTAAGAGTGACAAAATCAAATCTTCATTACAACTTATCTAAGCAAGCATAACTCACCAAAAACGATTAAAACCTTTACCTGGCATGCTAAAATCTGGGAAATAAGCCAGATTTGAAGCAGGACTTGGTGGCAAATAAAATAATAATATGGTGAACAATTTGATAACGAGTGAAAGTTGACAAATGGGAAGATTCCAACATGACACTTTGCACCTCAAATTAGGCATTTTGCTATTTTTTACATACTGTATTTACTTTGAGGGTTTACCAAAACACCGTTTCTAAAAAGTATGGATTTTGTTTATTTGAAGGAAACAATTTTTAAAGGGGATATAACTATGTCACAATGAATAATTCTGGAGCTCAAAGGGTCTTTAGCTAATATCCAAAGCACCTAAACGGACACATTTCCTATTCAATTTAGACTTCATAAGAGAATGAACGTTTTTGCCTGGTCAGAGTAGGCACTTGGCTTAATTCAACTAATGGTAAGAAACAAAGACAGATTGTAAACAGTTAACATAAACATTGGTTCAGTATTAAAAGCAGAGAATATTATCTACCACAGACCTGAAGAAGGTCCAAGCCGATGTCGTCGATGTTCTTGGTGTGAGAAGACAGATTGTTCTGAGTCCAGTTGGGGAAGGTAGGCTTGTAGTCAGGCAACTGAGACACCCCAGTCCAAGTCTCTTCAGTAGGGGTGGACAGTACTCTACACAACAGAAGTGAGATTATACTGAGAGAAAAGACACTATCTAGAGTTATATGCATAAAAATATGTTCAAGATTCTTTTCCAGTCGTAATTATAAGAAATGACTGAACACAAAATATTGGGATTTTTTTAGCAAAAGTATATTTTTAATATTTGGGAATTACATTTAAATCATAATTCTCTTGGGTAGGGATTTTTCCAACCCTCAGTGATAACACTGTGACGCCAAAGTGATATGATGTCCCAGCAAAACAAGGAGACGTTCAAAATTTTGCCTTTGTGGCAGTTTGAGATAATGATGTCCCTTTAATTGAAGGAGACGGTCAAGATTTTACTTCTGTGCTTGTCATTAACAACAGTGCTGCAATCTCGAAATTGCAGACCTGATGACAGAACAGTACGATAAAGACTAAAAATTAAAATATTTTTTCATTCCCATTTTGCAAACATATTTACTACTTTAACTTTTAACTTTCCCCCACCCATCCCTAGTCATCAAAACAGTCATTTTTTTGTGTATGTTGAATTATCATATAAATATGACAAAGTATCCTGACATACCTAAATATACGGAAGAGTTGATCAATTTCAGAGTCACCCTGGAACAATGGATGCTTAGTCGCCATTTCTGAAAAGATACATCCGACAGACCAGATGTCAACGGGACACGAGTAACGGGTGGAGCCGAGCAGTACTTCAGGTGCTCGATACCACAGCGTTACAACCTGTGGCAAACATCACCTTCATTATTTACAACATAAAAGCACCTTTCAAACAATATTTGAGTAGGCTAGTTATTTTTAGGGACACTTGTATAAAATATAAATCAATTCATACTACAGCAGCAAATTTGGTAAAGTATAACTGTGTAACAAAAAAGTTTAATGAAATATTAACATATTACAAGTACCTCAATAGTTCGACACTTTGTGGACTTAAGGGATGTCGAAATATCAAAATGTTGAACTACAGGGAGTAAAAAATTTGATTTGAATGGAGTTTAATACAGGAAAGTAAAAACACAAGTCTTATATAGAAATCACCCAAATTTAATTAATACTAAATAGCTTAACAATCTCACTGTTTACATTAGTTGAGTCTCAAGTCAACAATAAAATACAAATTAATGTTCAATTTTTAGGAAAAAGAATTTAGCTTGGATTTGTGATGTTCTTGTAACTACCATCTAGGCCTACTTCTGAAGAAGCCTCTGAAAGAGGCGAAATATCAAGTATTATTATGTGTGTGTTTTATGTGTTCTTTGACTCGTCTGCAACCTTTCATCAGGCGAGTTAGCTGTGTCCTCTCCATCCTATATATTTATTTAATCCAAATTAATGTTCAAGTCAGCTTACATGACAATAATAACCATTAAATATAACTTGACAAATTAGCTCATCCCGTGTCGAACTATCGAAGGTTTACTGTACTTAATACACACAGTTCTCAGCTGACAAAAGACCTTGGCTTGTTGATTTTGAACATAAAGAATTGTCATCAGTACAACTCCCAGCTACCTCCAACCTCACATAATATGGTTCTGATTTTCTGAGAGTTTTTCTTAAGGAAATAGATTCCAGGCCCACTACATCCTTCTGAAGGATTCCCCTTAAAGGGACAAATTATCAAATTATTTTTGTATTGAACTTGTTTTGTGCTATCACCCGATTTAAAGTCTTTTCTTGGGTAAATTCATTTGTACACAACCCTCCTTGATACACAGAATATTGTTTTTATGGGAAAAGTAAATAAGAAGCTATCTTAAGACCACGGTCTAGTGTACAGCTTAGTTTTCTCTATAGCTTCATAAGTACCTCATGAGTGAAAACTCGCACTGGGACGCCAAACGCTCGACCCAAACCGAAGTCAGCAACCTTAATCAGCCCTTTGCTGTCAATCAGCAAGTTTTGGGGTTTCAGATCCCTGTGTAGCACACGACGCATGTGACAGAACACAATGGCTTGCATTATCTGTGAAAACAACAAACACGCTGGTAAAACAATATACAAAACATTAAAGATGTACAACATAGATCACAAGGGCTTAGTTTGTTAGGATAAAATACATACCTTGAATAGGAGTCTATTCTGACACAAAGAACTTTTAAATTGGGTTGTATTAAAAACTAGAAAATTTCACTGTTCCACTCACAGCAACTTCAAACAAGGAGAGGGTTTGAGTTGGGAAGAAGGATAGATGTAGAGGTGCGACACCATATATTAATTAATTATCCAATATTTTGCTGCTGACTGACAGAGTTGTCAATATTTCAAACACACTAGGTTATTAAGTGTTACACATATTTTAATAGCCTAGGCCCTGTACCAGTTAAAATTGCTTTTATTGAAACTAAAAGTATGGAATTGAACAATTTGACAATTTTGAACTGTTATTACAATTTGAATAATGATTCATGGCTTATCCCCTTAATTTATAAATTGTTAGGTACCATGTATAGGCTACATTTTTTTAGTACTGTGATCTAAAAAGGTGGATAGATGAAGTGGATAAATAAATAAGCAAATAGCGAGGTAGGCAGAACAGGAATGGAGATGGAGTAAGGTGGAATAGGAACAGTCGGGGGTTAGGAGAAGATCGAGAAGCCTAATCCAGTCCAGGAAATAATCAGAACTAAGGACAATGTAACATACATAATCATAAAGAAGAAAAGAAGCGGCTGAAATTCATCTGTAAGCTTGTATCGTTTGCCTACCTAAAACATCTTCTTGTTGTAAAACATAAGACTTGTAAGTTGCTAAACATGTGATAATTTCTTACAACAAACTTGTACCTGAAATAAGTAGGATTTGACTACAGCTGGTTCCATGTACTTTCCAGAATCTATTGAATCTAAATACTTCTTCAGATCCATTGACAGGAATTCAAAAATCAAGTAAAGCCTGGTTTCATCCATCAGAGTTTCTTGTAAGCTGAAATCAATGGTTTAAAGTCAGTGATTAAAATTTTCATTTAAACGATCTGTTATTTTAGATGCTCACATTTTACCTAGAATCTATTATGGCCCTTGCTAGTCCGACGCTTTGAAATCCGACGTACGCTACGGGAGCCAAAAATCAAGCATGCAGTGACATAAAACACACACTGTGACACTGTGACTCACGCCTCGTTGCCGTCGGAGCACTTCCGTTCAGTGTTCAGTTGACTTTCGGGACGTGCAGTACACTTTCCCGGTGCAGTGGTATTTTCTTTGTTAGTAAGTGCAAGTGTTCGTGTACAGTAGTTGTGTACCTTTATGCATATTTTTTGGGATGTACGTACAGTACTGTAATTGAAATGCCCGCCTTATTTGTAACACTGTAAAATAATACATTGTTTAAAATGGTAGTTATATCTTTTTGGCAATCAAATGCATTACAGAATAGCCATTTTCGATAATCCGACACTGCGTCAGTCCCGTACTTGTCGGACTAGCAAGGGTGGGCTGTCTTATAGAAACATTAGCGAGATTAGAACCAGCGCCACCAGGATAGAAGAACTGCGCTCTAAGCAACTAGAATAGCCTTGTCCCCATTTCTTCATTTTCCCCAATGCAGAGTAAATACAAGAGACATAAGTTTTTCTCAAGTTTCGACTTACCAGACAATGTTGGGATGCACCAACTCCTTTAACAAAGACACTTCCCTAATGGCAGTAGAGGGAATCCCTTCATCCTCACTCTCCATACGAATCTTCTTGATTGCAACATATTCACCTGTTTTTTTATTCCTTCCTTTGAACACCACACCATAGGTTCCTTAAACATTACAACATTTTTTATAAATAACTATTGACTAATCCCCTAGGTACTAATCAAAAAGTTGCTGATTCAAACCTGAAGTAATCAGTACCGGTACCTAGCTTTTTGAAGACTCAAAACAGAACCCAGCTTTCCTTGATCATTGGGCTTCTAATAAATATGGTCCTGGCTACAGAACCAGGTGATCTTAGTCAGTAACAAAGCTATCATATCATATCCATTCTACATTCAACCATTACTCAAGCCATTGCCTTAAAACACAGGGTGTTTGGCATCGTAAAAATCTTGTTACTTATCTTGATTTTAAACTATATAAGTTCAAGTGTATTTTGGAAGCTAGGTCTTAATTTTTATGTTAGGCCTTGCTTTTTTAGTTACTTTGGGATAAAAATTAAAATATTTATGTTTATTTTATTAAAAACTCCCAGAAAATGTAGACTATGATAACAACTGTTTAAAACTCTTTTTATAAATCTCTATTACAATGTTACTAACTAAACGTGACAAGCAGGTGAATTAAAATGAAAGGATAGATAGTCCAATTACTAGGATCGCAAACAATTGTATTTAATCAAAAGGTTTTACAGCTTTTGTACTGCAATACCTATTTTATTTAATAATAGTGAGACTAATTAAAAAAGAGTGATTAAATATAAGTTAGCAAAATTACCCTCGCCAATCTTCTCAATCCTTGTGTAGTCATCAAGTTTTGCACTCTTGTCTTCCGTCTTTTTCTCTCCGTTTGTTGACATTTTTATATTAAATTAGGGCTGAAAGAAAAACATTGGATTTTAAACAAGACTTAATTACTAATGAGTTTCAACTCCTCGGAGACTGGTTCACAGCAAATGGTCTATCTATGAATGTGTCAAAGACACAACTAATTCACTTTTCAGTTGCTAATGAGAATCGAGACATTGCTGTAAATTTGAACCAAACATCAACATATTCTCAAAACTCGGTCAATTACCTGGGAATCGATATAGATTTTTAAAATGGTATTAAAAAATACAATTAAATAACATTCTTTAAGCAAATATAAAAAAAATTACCAGTAAAATCACATGTTTGAACATTACAGCTTCAGTTTTATTTGAAGCAATTTTGCTATAGCCTGCAAAAACAATGTAGCATTTTTTAATTGTGTATAATGAAATGCTAAAAATGCTACCACAGCATAAACCCTTTCCCAGATTATTTTTAGGTGACGTACACAGCCCCAACAGATATGTACCTAACAGATATGGGCCTATTACCTCAAGGATATAAATTACTACTATAAGCAGACTATAAGTATAAAATCCTCTTAATTCTTTTAGCGAATTTCCCTATAGGAAAGTAGCTATTACCATAGGTGCCACGGTAAGACCTAGGCCCGGGACCGATTTACTTTTCCATTTTGATGTCCCCAGAGGCCAAAAACACAATTTGTTCAAATTTTTATATAGGACCTGGTATTGATGAAATTTGGTTTAAAGGTGTAATGCGGGATAAACTCGAATAAGTTCGCGAACCAAAATGATCGGACCATAGGAACGGGGTTTTACAGGGGGTTTTATGGGGTAAAAAATGGATTTTATGACCCTCAAAACACAAAATTTCCCAATTTTTCTCTAGACCTTTTTAAAGAGCTTGAAAAAACAAATAATTTATTATATCGGAAGTGTTTTGTACAGTTATTAGTAACGGAGAAAATACAACTAATTTTAAATTTAAAATTCCCATGTTATTCTTTTGGAGAATATTGTAAAATGTTGAAGTTTGTTTGTTTATGGATATATTTTGATCAAACTTGGCAAATTTATTTTTAAATAGCCTACTAAGCTATAAGTTATTAATATTTTACTAAAAATACACTTAAGTAGTTTCCTTGAAGCAGCAAACCTAGGTACTCATTGAACCTAATGAGTTAGGGCCTATTTAAATAGATTTAATTGAAAATCAATTCACACAAATAGAAATTTGCTTAGTTGGCAGGTTTGCTGTGGCGGGGGTATTTAACAAATACATCAGTTCTTTTGATGAAAGCTCAGACCAGGAAATTTCATCCTATAGGCTATAGATCATTAAAGAAAATTCTTCACCGAATCCGTGACTGTTGCTTTGGCAGTAGGTTACAATGGCAAGATAATAATTTTATAGATACCTACCACATGATGGGCTTTAGAATCTAAGTTTACAAACTCTACATTGCTTTTTAGGAGATTCAAGCTACTCTGCACTAGCCTAAAAGTTCACAAAATTTAACTTAAAGGGTAGGCTGTTTAAGTTACAAGGGGAAGGTTTCTTGGGTTCCCCTACCAATTTTTTTTTAGCTTAATGTAGGATCCTACATCAGCTGATCAGTTGCTGTCTCAATGCTCGGGTGAGGTAGAAAAGAAGGAATGATATCGCTTCCCCTTAAACTGCCTAAATTTTGTGAATAGAGTATAACATGGACTTAAGTTAGATTTAAGCCCGGCTTACATGCCTCTTTCCAGAACACCCGTTCCCGTTCTTGGTCCCGACCGCCCTGTCACCGGTTCAACAGAGCATTGTAGGCCTATTTACACGATCTGTTTTCTGCGCCCGATCTGAGCTCAGTGTGTTTCTTTCCCTCGTTGAAGAACGTCATTATTAGCTAAAAAGCTGTTTTTGAAAGTTCTCAAAGTGTAATGTAATGGCTTGTATTTATTGAAGTGGCAAGTTGTTAGAGTAGCCTAGCATTAACTGCATTGACTGTGTGTTATAACAGAAAGGAGGAAAAAAGAGGATGTGGATGAAGCGGATATACCGGTACCTACAATGACCTGTATTGAGTCATGCAAGACTTATCTACGTATTGGATGCTGAAGACCCAAGTTAGGGAGTTTTTGCATAAGACACTCCCAATTTTCAACAATTTCCTCAATATGGTTTTTTCCCCTAGGCACGAGTCCGGAATTGTTTTTCACATTAGGCTACTTCAGGCTAGATCTAGGGATTACGGCATTATCACTTAGAAAAAATCCATTGGTGATTTGGCAGCTTTTGAACCCGGGACCTCAGGAACTGGAGTCCCGCGCTCTAACCACTAGACCAGCTCGCTCCCGCTCAATATGGTGGCCTCATATAAAAAAATAGTACAGTTAAGCGCGAAGCAGTGAAGAATTTTAGATTGTGCGCTATCCCCGCTTTTCATCCATAGGCTAAATCCAATCTTTCCTGACCTCCCTACATGGTCGCCAACCAAATCAAGACCAAGAACACGGGTTTGCACGATCAGATCTCAGGGCCAACGTCGATCGGGCCTGATCTACTTAGGATCCCGAGATCGGGTTGTGTAAACCAGGCTTTATCTAACTTACCCATCATAGGATTGATGTTAGGATTTTACATTAATCTCCAATAGTCTGCAGTTGCCATGTAGGCTACATGAAAACGTTGGGGTTTTTTTTTACCAGGCCTATGTATAAGAATCTAGTGTATTTATGATAGGAGGCATAGCATCCTGAAAGCCTATTATGAATTTTGTTCTTAACTATGTACCAAAAATTTACAATGTTAGACTAGAAGGACATTTCACTGACAACGGTCAGTCTTAGAACACTCATTAAAAAAAAAATAGCAACAGCTAAGCCATTTAAGCATAAGCCTAAATATAATTTTGCAAAAATAACCAGCCATGACTTTTGTAAACCTAAGGAAACGATAAGGCAGATGAGAAATTTGCAAGAGTTGGTTCGGTTGTTATATTGATATTAGTATTTAATTGCTATGCTAACTTACAATACTCACCTAAATTATTCTAAATAACGTAAAATTTTTTTAAATCACTCAAAATATTTCCGACCGAGAATAATAACCTTTCTTTACCATTACCGGACTTGACGAATCTAACGTGTGATTTTAAAATTGTTAACTGAGAAATGGCGGGATCAGACAGAAACCGTTTGGACAGAACAGTGGAAACTTTTCAGTTGTATTGTAATTTCAAAGACTTTCAATACGTACGTGCTTTAAGTTTAGCATAGCGTATAAACTCACTAACTTATAGTAAATTGAAGAAAATTAAACAATAACTATTTATAAGTAATTTTATAAAAATGAGTGCTTCCAGAATATATATTCTGGGAAATCTTATCAAATATGATACCATGTTAGAGTTATTTTACTCGTAGTATTTGAAGCCAATGCAAAAAGGTCTTAGAATACTTTTCCGTTAAAACCATTGATTTTATAGTGAATAGTCTATTTTAACTCACAATAAGAATGCAAAATCAAAGATTAAACATATAAAACCAAAGAACTCCGATGCACTGACTCTCCACTATCTTATTCCAATAGTATGGCAATTGGCAACACTGTTTTATTTATTTATTTCGTAGAGAAAAACAACATTAAACGTCAAAATATGAAATGTCAAAAAGACTTTCATAGTTTACATTACAAATGAAATAACTTAATGTGAGCTATATTTTACTGTTTCGTCTTTTATTTGCAATTGCACGATTAAGCCTCATTAAGTTACACCGAGATGGAGGGGACTGAAGCATCCATAGAAATGTCAAACCACCAATTAGTTGACTTTGATTGGAACTTGAAGGTTAGTAGCCTACTAGCCTAGTGGAAATAAGTTACCAAATTTTTCTTGTATAGTCAGGGGCGGCTCCAGGAATAATCTTTTGGATAGGTCTGACAAGACAAGGATCCAGAAAGAGTTAGAACGAGGGGGGGGGGGCGGGGGACGTGAGGTTTCAGGGGCTTCCCCGCAAAAAGGTAAGATTTTAAAATTGAAATACAAAATAATTAGTTTGAATGCTTTCCCTATATTTACATACATAATTAAAGTTCTTTATTTATTTATAATTTTGAAATATCTACCAGAATTTGGGATAGGCTTTAAGCAGTTGGGGTTGGTTTTTACCTGAAAAGACTGTAGGCTTAGTATGAATTGTCGGATCCGAAAGTCCTGTTTTAATCCCGCTCTCTAAGGATCTTGTTTTCCGGATAAAATCCCGCATATGGAAACAACGATGTTAAGGTACATGTTTGTGTGAACTACTAAAATTTATTTCAAATTTCACCGCTCTACTCTCAAAAAAATTATTTTGCAATCCATTCATATTCTCCCTCAATAAGTACAGGGCCGTTTTCAACCCTGTCAGCGTCCTAGGCACAACTAATAGTAGCCCCCCTTTGCAATATATAACAGGGTGTCCACCAACCGGGAAAACTGGGAAATCTGTGAATTATGCGTGAGTTTTTTTTAAACCGGGAATTACGGATGAAATTTGTATTTCTACCAGGAATTTTCAATTTACCGCAATTGCGCATGACGTTTCCGTGACCGCGGGAGACTGAGTCATGAGGGATAATCAGAATATTGCCGAGATCATGGAAGACCATGGTAATGTCCACACCACCACAGGAAACGGCAAGAATTTGGCCGCGATCGCAGAAGACGATGATAATCTCCACACAACTGCTGGATATTATTAACATTTTGCCACAATAGCGGTAGGCGGTTACGATGTTTTCAAACATAAACAAAACGATGTTTTTAAACGAGGTCATGATGACCGCGGGAGAAGATTACGATGGCTACAGGACTGCGGTAGAAACAATATATATTGATACGAGAGGGATGATCAGAATTATGCCGCGAACGTGCAAGAGGATGATAATGTCCACATGACCACGGGGAAAAAACAGAATTTTGCCTCATTTGCGAATGACGGTGATGATCTCCACGAGAGCGCGGAAGGTGATTACCGTTTAGCCGCAATCAATCGTGGGAGGCGATAATTACGTCCACACGATCGCAGGGGACAATTTATTGATGTTGTCTTTATGGCCGCAAGTGGTGATCCGAATTTGCCCACGATCGCGCAAGACGATGATAATGTCCTCATGACCGCGGAATGTATTCATAAATTGCCGCACCCCCTGAAAAAGCCAATTGCCTCGTGCCATAGGCACGTGCCTACCGTGCCTATTTGGTAAATCGGCCCTGCTCATATACCATGGTATAATATGGAGAAATTAAATGAAATATTACTTTATTATCACAAAAACATTTCACAGATCCAGCATTAGCTGGTGAAACAGGTGATATTGTCAGAGATAGATCCAGCGTTAGCTGGTGAAACAGGTGATATTGTCAGAGATCTTAAACACTACGTTACATAAAAAAAACTAAAATCCACATAGCTTAAACTAAAATATATTTACTTATCATTTAAATAATCGGAAATCTTATAATAATTTTTCTGTAAAAGGTATCGTTTGAAATCATTTTAAAATTTTGAAATACTGTTAATTTCTTTGAAATTAGTGGGTAGGCTGTTGTAAAGCCTTAATCCCATATAATAAGGAGATCTTTCATATAAACAAAGGCGATGTCTTGGATATTGAAAATTTTTTGAGCGTGTAAGATATGGATGACTGATTTGTTTATCATTGTACATTTGATAATTAATTTTAAAATTCACCATCATCTATACTATTATATAAAAATCTAATGGTGTCTGTCTGTATGTGTATTACTAATAGGCGCAAAAACTACTGAAGCAACTGGGCTTAAATTTTACAAAAATATAGCTACCATACCAAGGACCCTTATAGGACTATTCACAATTCGACACTGACCGTGGGCTTTGCCCCTTTGGCTTTTAAGGTTCTGAGGTGAGGATTTTAAAAGTAAATATTGATTGGTCTCCATGGCTACCATGAGAACAAATAAAATGTTTGCAATTTGCTATGCCACCCAAATGTAAACAAGCTGAACTGTCAAGCCACATTAATTCACAATTCCACAGCTGACTTATAAATAGGCATATAATATTGTCTACAATCATGTGACATGTTTATTTATTCTTATATTTGATGGTTCATTGATTATTGATTTTATGAAATAAGTCAGATTGTATATCTGTCGCTGTATCTAACCCTAATTAATTATTTAAAATTTCGCTAATGTGAATAATGTACCTATTGAAAGATTTTGGTGTACAAAATGATGAAATTATAAAGTTTATATGTACTTCAATCATTTTAACTTTTTTCTACAATTAACATGTGTTTAGAGTAGGGCACACACCTTAAAAATTGAAACTTTTTCTCAAGGAGATAATTAGTTGTATATTTTCACCATTTTGAGAGAAATATTGTTCACCCCATTTCCTTTTCCACAAATTTTTAAATCATAATAATAGATTGGTAAGTTATGGTGTTTTCTAATCCAGAGGTAGCTACTACCTATCTATAACTTTTGACACTTTCTGAAGATTTCACATTCTATTCTATTAATGAACAACTTTTTACGAGCGTTTCATGGTATTTACTATGGAGATTTCATAAAGCACCATATAGCCTACATCAACCCCGGACGAAGGACGGGTCCTCTGCTAGTTTTAAATATATAAAGTGAAGGCAAAGTTAATATCTCATATTTAGCAAATAAAGCTCTGCATGAGGTTATTTTAGGCATAAATGATAAAATCCTTATAAATTTCTTCTGAATTTTGAAAACTGCTTTAGAGTAAGAAGTTGCTCTCCGTAATTCAATCCCGTATTGCAAGACAGAAAAGAACATTGCATAGTACACTGTAAGTTTAGTTTTTAAATCTATTACATTTCTCAAAACATACGTATTTGAAAGCAAGCCGTATTTAATTAACCAACTACCATTTTTATGTGTGTTTTCCATGTTAAATTCTTATCGATATCTAAACCCAAAAATTTTGCATTTTCAGTAAAGGAAATAATATTATTATCATAAGATAATTCAACAGTGGAGTTTTGCCTATTCTGAATTGTTAGAAATAACATCACCTGTGTTTTAGAATTATTAAGTTTTAGCCCATTGGCTGTAAACCAATTAGATAAATTAAGAATAGAAAGACTGATTTCTTGTTTAAGATTTTGCAAATTATTTGATTTAAATATTGCTGTAGTGTCATCAGCATATAAGATAAGGTTAGACGATACATTTCGAGGTAAGTCATTAATAAATATTAAAAATAGCAAGGGGCCTAGTATTTACCCTTGCGGAACCCCACATTTAGTGTTAAGCCACTGTGAAATACATTTTTTACCATTTTTTACGATTATTGTTCTTTGATGTCTGTTAGTCAAATATGAATGCATCCAAGACAGAGCCATATCAGAAAATGCATAATATTTAAGTTTACTCATTAATATATTGTAATATTGTAATTTACACAATCAAATGCCTTGGATAGATCACAGAACACCGCAGCTGTGCTCTGAGACCCATCCAAGCCATCAGAAACCTGATTTATGAAATCTGAGACAGCAGATATAGTGTTTTTCCCAGATCTAAAACCATATTGTTTATTGGTAAATAAATCATTAATTTTGAAATATGAATAGTTTTGGTTGTAAGCAATTTTTTCAAAGATTTTAGACAAAGATGGGAGTATTGAAATAGGACAATAGTTATCAGGGTCCATTACTGAGCCTTTTTTGAAAAGTGGTTTCAGCTCAGCATTTTTTAATTGATAGGGAAAAATACCTTCATCAAAACATTGATTGATTAATTACTAGACACAGAGGCTCTGCAATATGGTTTATGAAATTTTTAATTAATTCAATAGGAATTTCATCCCATCCAGAAGATTTTTTATTTTTTTAATTTCTAACGGTTTTTTAAATTTCTAAAATCGATACATGTCTGAACTGAAATTTCATTCTTATATTAGCCTACTAGTATTATTAATCAAATTAGTTGCAGTGTGTAAGCAAGGCATACAATTTATATTTTTGTAAATGTTAAATGAGAAAGTATTGTTTTTGTCAAAGTTTTTGAATTTGAGTGGATATGTTTGTTTTGGGTCCCCCTGAACCCAAAAAAGTAGTTTTTAAAGTGATGTCTGTGTGTGTGTGAGTCTGCATAGCCTACAGAGAGCTA